TCTGTGAGTAAATCACCCATAATATTGCATAGAAAGGTAAAGCAATGAAAGTATGAAAGATAATTAAAAGAAAAGGAGAAGAGAATAATAAGATTTGACAGACTTGTAATGAGAAAGAGCAAAAAGAATTAGAAAGAGATAATATTAAAAGATATAACCATCAAGAATTTTCAGTAATAATGAAAAACATAAATTCTCATAAGGAAGAATCACTCCAATCCCCAAGCACTTTAAATATAAATAATTCCATGCCTAGACACATCATAGTAAAATTGCAGAACACCAAAACGAAATCTTAAAATCAACTGGAGAGAGGAGATACATCACCTACAAAAAGACAATTAGGCTTACCACAGACTTCTCAATAGCTACCACAGATGCCAAAAAATAATGGAATATTCCAAGTATCTTCCACATGCAGAGGAAAAATAACTGTCAACTTCAGTGTTCTATATTCAGCTATACTATCATTTAAGAGGAAGAATGAAATAAAAAAATCTAATCAAAGACCAACTACTCATAGACCTTTGGTGAAAGCACAATGAAAGTATGTACTGCAAGAAGAAGGAACTTGAGCTCAGAAGGAAGGAATGGGTGAGCAAAGAAAGTGCAAACATGTGAGTAACTGTAGGCTGTAAAAATATACAGATAATAATGACAAAGGCTTAGCACATAAGAACTTGACAAATGTTTATTGGTTGGTGCTTCTTGATTGTGTACACCTCTTCTGAGACATAATTCTACATGTGTTTTGGGCATGCAACTCAGAAGCACTTCAGCTTATGGTTGTCACATTCCATTTACTTCTTTTTTTTTTTTTTTTTTTTTTTGAGACAGAGTCTCACTGTGTTGCCCGGGCTAGAGTGCCGTGGCGTCATCCTCGCTCACAGCAACCTCAAACTCCTGGGCTCAAGTGATCCTCCTGCCTCAGCCTCCCGAGTAGCTGGGACTACAGGCATGCGCCACCATGCCCGGCTAATTTTTCTATGTATTTTTAGTAGTCCAGCCAATTTCTTTCTATTTTTAGTAGAGAAGGGGTCTCGCTCTTTCCATTTACTTCTTTATTTCAGGACTGTTTCACCATTTCTGGCCTAACAAGAATATTGCTTCATAATTTAAGTACAATTCTGTACTTATTTTATCTATTTATTTTCTACCATCTTTTGCCGGTAAGGGAGGGAATTACAGTACGAGTTCAGCCCACCATTTTGAAACTCCACTCAATAACTTTTATTGAACTGGAAAAAACTATTCACACCCCTCTGGTTGTGCTTCAAGAAGAACAATCCTCATTGCCTGCCAGACTCCAGAGTAGTCAGAATCCTACATGGTGGCCCAGGGCTCCAAGTTTAAGTGTTCTAGCAACCAAAACAAAGCCATTCAGCGTCATTTCTGCTGTATCACATCGGTCAAGGTAGTTATAAGCTCACTCAGATTCAAGGGAAGGGGACCCCACCTCTCAATGGGAGAAGTGTCACAGAATTTGGAGGTCATAGTTTAAAATCATCACCTGCATTTGGAGCACAGCTGAAATTTGGTGCGACTAAATATAGGAGGTAAATAACAAGTAATCACAACTGTGAGATCTATAATTTATTGAGCAAATGTATGTTCCAGGCACTTTACTTCCATATTTGTTTATCCTTACATAAAACCTGTGAGAGATAGGTAGGCATGACACTCCCCATCCTACAGAGGAGGAATCTGCACTCATACTGTTGGTATGAATACCCAAGGCAGGTCCCACAGCTAACGCGTGCCCAAATTCAAATCCAAGGCATGCTTTCACCATTTCACCACATTGCAAGGCCATGCTTTCACCCACTCTGCGATACTAATTTTTAAAGTCACTGAGCATTGATAACTTACTCTAGTCCTCACTCACTGAAGCTGCCTGTGAGGAATTCAAGCTTGGAGCCAGCCATCAGGAGAGGGAGGTGGCATCCCAGAGCAGGGCTTCCTGTGTAAACAGGAGGCGCATGGGAAGCGGCACTGTGGTGCTGGGACAATGGGGCGTGAGCAGGCAGGGCCTCCTGTCTCCGGTGGGCGCTCAGTGCTGCAGGCGGCCAGGCAGGAACAGCTGGGGCCCTGACTCCCTGACGCCTGGCCCTGGAGAGGAACTGCCCCTCTCATGGCTTTCCCAGGAGGAAGTTCCCCACTGATTCTCGGGAAGCCCTTCCCATCACAGGCCTTGGCTGTGCCTGGGCCTCCTCTTTCTTCTTCAGGACCATGTTGTCTTTGCGGCTAATCTGGGATACAGGCCTTCTCTGAAGTCCCCGTGGCCTGGAGGTTTGGAGGGTGTGGGCAAGCAGGCCAGGCCCAGATGCTAATCCAGGAAGCAGCCACCGATGAATGTGTACTAAAAAAAAAGCATACGCCAGTTAAAGAAAACAACAACATCAACTTGAGGTATGTAGGTATGTAAAGCAAGAAGATCTGACTCCACATCCCAGCTCCAGCTCTAACTAGCTATGTGACCTTGGGCAAGACACTTAACCTCTCTGAGCCACAATCTCCTCATTTGTAAATTGAGGAAAATAATATCTATCTGAAAAGAGTTGTTTGGCCTGGCACGATGACTCACGCCTGTAATAGCAGCACTTTGGGAGGCCGACGCAGGAGGATTGCTTGAGCTCAGGAGTTTCAGATCAGCCTGAGTAAGATCAAGACTTTGTCTCTACTAAAAATAGAAAAAAATTAGCCACGCATGGTGGTACTCGTCTGTAGTCCCAGCTACCCAGGAGGCTGAGGCAGGAGGATCACTTGAGCCCAGGAGGAGTTCAAGGTTGCAATGAGCTATGATCACGCCACTGCACTTTAGCCAGGGTGACAAAGTGAAACTCTGTCTCAAAAAAAAAAGAAAAAGGAAAGAAAAAATGAAAAGAGTTGTTTGAAGATTGAATGAGATAATGTATATAAAGTAACTGACACCTAGTAAGAGTTGCATAAATTTTAACAATGAATATTTAAAGCACTTAAGAAGACCCCCACCTTTGCCTGGCAACTAGTCTACTGCAGCACCTGAATTTTCACCATCGGGGAGACTTTGTCACCACTAAGATACTGCACCAATCACCACATGCAGGGACAAAGCGCCCCCAGCCTGGGAAGGTAGAGAATGTGGGTCTTAGTGAGGATCCTGACCACTATCTTCCCAAGGCTTCCATGACACCACACACTTTGGTCTCCTCCACTTCTTTGGCTACTGCTGCTCAGTGATTCTACAGGGTCCCCCAATTCTACTCATCTCTTTTCTTTAATGTTTTCCTCTTCTCTCTCTCCACACCCTTCTGAATGACTTCATCTTGTCCTATCTATAGGCTAATGACTCCCAAACCTCTCTCCTGAGTCCAGACTCACATGTCCAACTGCCCTCCAGATATCTCCACCTGGATGTCCCTCAGGCACCTCAAAAGCAATGTGTTTCAGCCAGAGATCATCATCTCACCCAAAAGAACCTGTGCCTACAGCCTTTCCTGTATCAGGAATGGCCACATCCTATGCCCAGCTGACCAAGTCAGAAACCTGGGAGTTGTTCTGACTCCTTCCTCACTCTCACACCTAACCAGTCATCAAGTCTCATAGATCCCACCTCCTAAATGTCTCTCAGGGTGTACCCCATCTGTGCATCAGCCTGCTCCTTCCTTAGCGCAGGCCCATCTTCTCACCTGGAGTCCCTGCTTCATGTTGAGCCCTCTCCATCCATCCTCCACACTGTAGCCAGATTCATCTGTCTAACACACAAACCCCCTCTTTCACTCCCATTTGACACCCCCAACGGCATCAGGGTAAAGTCCAAGCCCCCCAAGGAGGCACCTTAGGGCTTAGTGATACAGACCTTGTCAACCTGTGCAGCCTCATCATCCACTGTCCACCCCCCAACACTCACTGAGCACTGCCAAACCCAGCCACAGGTGCTCTCCCTGAGAGCACCACTCCTTCCCTCAGCTCTGGGCCTCTGCACACATGCTTCCTCTTTCTGGAATGCCTTCTCCACACCTTCCTTGGCTCTTACTCATCCCTCAGGACTCAGCCCCAGCATCACCTCCTCCAGGAGGACTTCCCCCATCACAGTCTTTATCAAAGTAGATTGCTTTCGTCTGTTTACCTATCCAACTCCCCACTAAACTGTACTTCCCGAGGGGCAAGAACAAGGCCTTCCTCTTCTCCAGATCCCAAGGCCTAGCACAGGGCCAGTACAGAGGAGGTGCCCCAGATATGTTCACCTGAATGCATGAATACCAAATTCTACCGACCACGGGTGGTAGCTAAAGGCAGTCTTTGGGAGACAATCTCAAGTAAACTCACATATGTGGTAGAAGCTTCCCCCTTCCAAAAGGCTGGTATAGTTTAAAGTTTGCAAACATCTGTCCCAAAGCCCCAGGAGCGAAGAAAATCTGGTGAGATCTTAACAGAAATCCCCTCCCAGATATGCAAAATGGAGAAATATCAGTAAGCATTAGGTAACCACAGACTGCCACATGCAACAGGCATTCTATGTGGAGTTTTCCTAAGACTCAACATGGAGAGAAAAGGGGGGGCGGTGCACACATGCACACATAAGCACACGTTTATCTGTGTGCACAATTGTGCGTGCATGTGTGGGCACACAAGTCTGCAGTGTGTATGTGCAACCGTGAGCAGGGGTATGCCCAATGCATGATCGTGTTACTCCACTCATATACTCTTCAGATTAAGAAAAGACCATGTTTGTAGCACAAATAACGTCCCAGAAACCTTTGTCCAGGCCCAGGACCCGTGGGCACCCATTTCTCATAGAGAATTAAAGCCAGGGCAGTCCTGCCTGTCCTTAGTGAATGTGCCAGCCATCCCCACACCAGGCATTCACTCCATCGGGACTTCACCTCGTCCCCAAAGTTGTCCCTGCCTAAAGACCGCCTTAGCTATGCCTTCTTTTGGCCGTAGAAGCCCCTGTTACTCGGCTCTGGAAGCGGCCACAGTAAAGCTGCAGTCAGTCCTGCCATCGCAGGGCAGATAGCTCATTCCTGTCCCGGAACAGGCGTCCGCAGCAGGGCCTGGCAGAGCGGTGGCAGTGACAGCTTGCGGGTCTTGCTGCGCGGGAAAGCCAGCAGCTTTTCTTGATGCTTGGGGGCATCAAGAAGACAGGAGGAAGGCGAGGCGACCGGCGTGCGGAGCCCAGGCCCGGCAGCCGCCCTGGGTGCGCGCCTGCGCGGCGATGCCGGGCCGGAAGCCCCCGCGTGCGGGGCTCGGACTCCCCGCGGGCGTCCTGCACCGCCGCCCCGGGAAAGATAACACTCGCCTGTCCCGGGCCCTGGCCCCGACCGCCGCCCGGCCGCCGCTTCCGCCGGGCGTCCGTGGGAAGTTGCCCGGTACAGGAGCGAGGAAGCCCCCTACGCTGGGGCGACCTCCACTTCCGGCCCGGAGGGGCGCGTCACGCTCTGTCACTGTCCTACACCCTGAGCGTGTGTCAGGCCGGGCACACGGGAAAACTGTGCCTTCCTTACTCCACCCAAGAACCTGGTGGGACTGCCCGCAGCCTTTGCCTTAGCCTCCCAAGGCCCTCTCCCATCCTGAATTCCCCAGTCCTCTTCACGCTGATGCATCACTACCCACGAACACACACATGTGGACCCCTGCCATTTGCCCCGGATTCCCTATCGCCCCCAGTTTCCACCTCTCACAGAACTATCATTAAACCCAGACTGATTCATACTAAAGTGTCAATGACTAATAACAAGTGCATGCCTAAATCCCTTACCAGACTAAATCTTCACCTAAAAGAAGGAAGCTCTAAATATGAAATCCGGAGCATTCATTCAACAAACATTTTCCACTAGACATGTTATACACCAGCACTAAGAATACAAAAATGAATAAGAACACAGTCCCTGCCCACAGGGAGTTTACAGTCTAGTGGAGGGAAATAAATAAATTACAGCCAGGGCAATAACTGCTGGGATAAAAGGAAGTACAGATGAGGTGCCATAGGAATCTGCTGATGTACAGGATTGCGCCAGGGAAGACCTCCAAGAAGAGGTGACCTTTGAGTGGACTTGAGGGATGAACAGCAAGCAGCTGAGAAGGTGCTGATAGGCGAGTCACCTTTGCCATGCCCAGCAGGGCAGCCTGAAGGCCCACATGGCCAAGGATGCACCCCTAGTTCCAGGTGAAAGGAGGCGTGTACAGGGATAGAGCATCCAGAACCTGGATATGCGGAGATGGCCAAATGGCCTGTTGAGGGTCGTGGCCAGGTCCAGCTCACCTTCAGAGCCATGCTTCTGGCATACAGTAAACACTTATGGAAATCTGTTAAATTACACCCAATGCTTGATGATCTATTGTGGGTCATGTGCATGCTTTCTTCCAAGTCAGACTGAAGAAAACTCTTCAAGGACAGAAAGTACTGTAGGTATTTTCTTATATTTGCCAGAGCACTTAGCACATACCTGGGCATCTTTCAGGTATGCAGCTGAAAGTATCCCTTGATTAAAGCAATGACATGCTGCTCAGCACCTGCACTGGCATTGGTGGGCAGCTCAGCCCTACTGTGGCCTCTCCTGGGGGACTGGCCCTTCCCAATGAGGCCTTCCCAGATTACCCAGCGTGAAATCCCTCCTCTCCCCCTCTTCCCTCTTTTGCCACCTGTGTCTTGGGCTAGGAGAGCTGTGTACAGGCTGCATACCTGTCACCCGGAGCTCGCTGTGGGTGAAAATCATGTATTGCTCCTTTCTGCATCCCTACACCCAGAGCAGCCACTGCACAGAAAAGGGGTTCAACAAATGTATGTAAAAAAACAAATGATGTGATGGGGAGTTCGTGCATTTGTCATTCATTCTTTCTTTTCTTCCTTTCTGCTTTTGGATGAAAGACATTGCCTAATATCTTTCAGAACTCATAAAATTAGCCATTTCCTAAGTGACCCCTGGAGTCCCATTGTCATTGTCATTAAATGTAAGTAGAGTCCATCATTCATCCTGCCAATCCTTCATGGGCCCTACCACAGGGCAACCAAATGGTTGATAAGGAAAACTTTCTCTTCATAGAATAGTCAATTCATGAAGATGGAATGATAGAATTAAAATATCACTATTTTGCAAACCCTAATGAATAATGGCTCTAGGCATCGATCATAACTGGCTGTTAAAATTCAAAAGAGAAACAACCCAAGCACCACCGTCTCCTGATGGAACTATACAACACTATCGGTGAAGTGTTCTTGCCAAAATTACAAACTTGTACCTAACCAAGCTTCTAGATCTACCAATGTACAGGAAATACAGAGGACATAGCATCACATTAAAGGATGCCACGGGGTTGCAATCAGTAAAACCCTAGTTGTGAGAAACTCTATAGGACAAGTGGCCCACTTTCTTTAACAGACACATTGCAAGAAGGAAAAAAAGTGAGGAGAGGCATCTATAGATTAAAAGAGAGTTAAGAGACATATTAGCCAAATGTAATGTATAGATCTTATTTGGATACAGACTCAAACAAACCAACTGTAAAATCTTTTTAAGACAGTTGAGAAAATTTGAACATTAACTGGGTATTCCATATACTAAAAAATCACTCTCGATTTCTAGGTACGATGCTGGTATGGTAGCTATGTTTTTTTTTAAGTGTCTATATTTTAAGGATATAAACTGAAATCTTTACAAATGAAGTAATAGACATGATGTCTGTGATTGGCTTCAAAATAATCTAGTGGAGGAGGGGTGAAGAAATGGGTGGGGCTATAGAGGAAAACAGATGGAGGTTCATTGTACTCTCCTATTTTATAGGTTTGAAATGTGCCACAATAACAGGTTTTAAAAAAAGGGATTAAAGACACAATGTAATAATATTAATAATAAAATATTAATATTAACAGTTATATTAATTTTATATTACCAATAGTTACTGGGATTTTTTTAGTGCTTCCTTTATGGCATACTCTATACTAAATCTTTTCACATAGTTATCTCATTTGTCTTCTCAAGAACTCTGCAACCCAGAAACTATTAATATCATCACCATTTTGTAAATAAGGGAACTGAGGCACTGAAAGTCTGGATAATGGGTGAGCCCAAAGTCATGCAGCTAATAAATCACAAAGCCAGGATTTAAGTCCCGACCTTCTGGGAACCCAGCCCACATTTTCTCCCACTCTGCCATCCCACTTACCAGTATTGACATCCTGAGGTGTAGGCATCGTTCTTTGTTTTAACGCTGAGCCTCTGCTCAGCAATAACTGATGAAGTTGAAAATGCCTGTGACCTTCGGTCGGTCCAGTAGTCCCACTTCTTGATAAACTGTGGCATATAAGCACTAGCAGACATGCATTAGAACTTCCATAGCAGGACTACTGGTAATAGTAAAGAACAGGAAATAACCCGGCGTCTCTCAACAGGAACATGGATAAATAAACCGCAGTGTGTTCATACAATGGTACGATGTGACACAGGGAAAATGAATGGAGGTTGTCTTTGCGTATTAACCAGGAACTTTTTTACAAACATAAGGTTGAATGAAAAACCAAGCACGTGTCTTTCTTCAACAGCAGGATACCATTTACATGAAGTTATGAAACAAAACTATACCAAGTATTGTCTAGGAATGGATACACTTGTATAATAGTATAAGTACAAAAACAGATACGGGAATATTAAGCACCAAATTTACCATGGTGACCACCTCAGGAGAGAAAGGGACAGAGAGGGGTAAAGGAAGGGAACAGAGAGGTCCTCAACTATATCTGTAAGATTTCTTTCCTGAAAAGAAAGACCTCCTGGATACAGTGAAGTGCACCTATAGCCCCAGCTACTCGGGAGGTTGAGGCAGGAGGGTCACATGAACCCAGGAGTTCAAGGTCAGCCCGGGAAACATAGTAAGACCCCTGTCTCTTTAAAAAAAAGAAAAAGAAAGAAAGAGAGACCTGTGTTAGTGAGGCTGTGAGGAACAGGAGTGCCATAAACTGTTGGCAGCAGCATATCTTGTTTCAATCTATAAGGCAGGTAATTGGGCATAAGCTATCAAAGTTATAAGCATATGTACCCTTTGACCCAACTCTTACACTTCTAGAAATTTTTTTATAAATACATGCACATAACTACAAAATTAGGTATAGACAAAATTATACAGTACAGTATTGCTTATAAAAGCAGAGGATCAGAAACAACCTAAATATTATGCTCTAAAAAGAGAATGCATTGATATGAAAAAGAAATTTTTTTTTGGCTGGTCAAGTGAAGCAGCAGGAGTGGAGAAGGAACAAAGGAACCTGTAACTGGTTGTGATCAATTAGTTGTAAACACCCCTGCACTTGGACCAGCCAATATGAAAATATTTTTAAGGTGCAGAACACTGTGCATTAGCTGCTGCCATGGGCAAAAAGTGAGGGAGTGCAGGAGAATGTACGTGTTTACACTTGTATGTGCATCAACTCTGGAAGGATATACATGAAACCAGGATCACTGGCTGCCCGTGGGAAGGCTGACTTGTGGACAGAAGTAGGAGGGAGACTTCACGGCAAGCCTTCTATATTTTTAAATTTTGGTCTATGTGAACACATTGCCTATTCAAAAAATGATGAAATTTTAAAACTCTGAAGCAAGGCAAGGTTCCAAAATTTTCAAGGCTGATATCAGTAAAAATTGGAACAGAGGTCCATGTTAGCCATTCCACCGTAGTGCCTCCCGCCCTGTCAACAATGGTGTGCACAGATGGCAGTACCAGACATCAAGACCTCTCTTCTATCTGCACTAACTACCTCTGTGGCCTCTGCGTATTTCTGGACCTGAGTTCCCATCACCTACACAAGGGGGGTCCCTTCCTGTGCAGACACGCTGCCAGTCCCTGTTCCTCAGAAGTGCTGCCTCCAAGCAAAAGGCCAGGGCCAAGAAGGTACCTGTAACAGGGCACATCAGGATCCTGGACTGTCCCTACCCAAGGCCCCAAAATCCTGACTACCACTTCCCCAAAAAAAACCTGCTTGTACCACCACAGCAGCCTGTCAGCAATTACAAACCCAGAGCCCAGTAAAGTCTCAATTAGTCTACAAAGGGGCCTGAGGAGGAGCCAGCTGCACAGAGTGTAAAGCCCACATATGGTGTCTACCCACAGGGTGGCACACTCCTCTGCGTCAAGCCCAGGGGCTTGGAGACTTGGTAACACGTGGTCCTAAGGAGAAGGATGCTGGCTCTCCTACCCAACAGTGACCATTTCCCACAGGGCCCAGTCAAGCACTCTGTCCAGAAATGCAGTTCCCCAACTTCCTGCTCTCTCCTTGCTCATACCACGCACATCCTCCCCCACTTACCACTTTCCAGGGCAAGGTACATCTCTAGGCTACTACCTTCTTTTAAGGCAAGTTGAACATCCCTGGACAAACCCTGCAGAGGGATGCCCCAGGCTGATGTCCTTCAAGCCAATCGTGGGCTTGGCTCAGCATGCTGGGAGAAGAACCAAATTCTCATCTCTTCCCAGGGAAAGAATGCCTCTGAATTCTCCTCCACAGCATCCAGAAACAGATGGATCCCTGGTCCAATCTTCTGCAAATTCCCTGAGAGGGACACCACCAGGTTGCTGAGCCAGGACTTGGTAAGCCCTGAAGTTTTCACTAAATTGGCTCCCATTCCCTTCTTTGCAGTGAGTATGCATCACTGGGAGAGAAACTGTGTACATGTGTGTGTGCAGAGATCTCAAGCCTGGCTATGAGAAGGCACATGGAAAGGACCAGAGGCTAACAGGAAATGGATCTCTTAACCAGCAGCCAGATTTGGTCGGATGAAAGGAAGGACTTCCTGCCCTTGCAGGGACAAAGAGAGGTACACACACAGAGGTGAAACTTGGGGCTCCAAAGGCAAGCTGCCACTTATTAGCTAGGGGCTTTTGGCACGTTACTCAACTTCTCTGAGACTTGGTTTCCTCCTCTGTAAAATGAGAATAGTACCAGCCCCTCAACTTTCTCATAAAAATAAAATGAGATGATGCATGGCAAGTTCCTGGTACAAAATAAGTACTTAATAAAGGATAGCTATTTTTTACTTTAAAATAATAATAATAGCTGCAGGTGTATAGTGGTCTTTAAAGAACGTTGTCTATAAGGAAAAGGCCCTGTTATAGCATGTCTATGTATCTGTATATCACTGTAGTTGGTTCTACCACTTTGGAAACTGGAAATATCTACTAAAACTAAGTATATGCCTGCTCCTCATATTCACTCAAGACTTGGGAAATGCCTTTCACAAAAAGACATGTACAACAATGTGGACAGGATCTTCATTTATGATATCCCCAAACTGGAAATGAATGTCCATCAATAGGTGGGTAGATAAGCAAATTGTGGAATATTACACAGCAATAAAAAATGAATGTCTGACACATGCAACAAAACCAGAGAATGTTAAAAACATGTTATGCATAATAGTCACCAAAGAGTACATGCAAGATGTTCCATTTATATGAAACTCAAAGCAGGCAAAGTTAACTTATGGTGATAAAAATCAGAATATGGGTTACCTTTCGGGACAGGTATTGACTGGAAAAAGACAACAGGGAACCTTCTGAGGTAACAGAAAGATTCCATATCTTGATCCAGGTAGTGGTTACATAGTGCATTATACGTAAAAAACACATCAAGCTGTATAGTCTAGATGTGGAGAAAGGCAACTTTAAACAACACCTCATTCTCCCAAACAAGTCTGGGGCCCAGTGGCAAGGCACTCACTGTCCGGGGCTGAACAAAATGGATTCGGGCCATTAAAGTCACTGAGGATATCAGAGGAAGCTGGTCAGCAGCTCCTGCCACCCTGGAATTCTCTCTCTGGGTGCACCCCAGAGGTTTTTGGAGGCAGGAGGCCCTCACTTGGCCCAGGAACCAGGCCTCTCTGTCTTTTCTCCCTGAGTTAGCTTCAATCATGAGACAGGCCTACAACTGCCCTGCAGTTTGCCTGATAGAGGGTAGGACGCACACTCCTCAGGACAAAGAGGTGCTGGTGGACTTACAACCCAACATTACATCGGTGAGGTAAGGAGAAGCCCAGAGCACTGGCCTGCTACTTCTCAGCCCTCCCAGGAGAGAGAGGGAGGAGTTCCATAAGACATTTACCAACTGGAAACAGCTCTCATCTGTGAGTTCTTCCCCAGACTGGGAAGTGGCTTCTTCTTTCCCTTTCTCAACCTTTCTTTCTTTCTGTCTCTCCACTCCCCTACTCTCTCCCCAGCACATATTTGGGTAAATGACTCTGCTAATCCCAACCAGGCAGACTAATACCCACTGGCTGCGGGCCTGGCGTTGTGTGGGTGTGTGCACAAGAGCTGTGCAAGCCCCTGGGGCTGCAGCCTGTCAGTCTGAGCTGCGAGCTCAGCATTGCTGCAAAACAGAGACGAATCCTGTGTGAGTGGCCTGTGTGTGTTAAAGTGCATCTGGGACATGTTCTGTGCCTGAGCTTCTCAAAGGAACTCCGGGCAGTAACCCCTTCATGGGAACACCCAGGTAGTGGTCCAGTCACCCTAACCACAAGCCAAAAACATCAGAGAATAAACCGGCTTCCGTCAGACTTGAAGACATGGAGCCAAGAGGTCCTTCTGGGTCATGAGAGGGCAGGTGTGCAGTGTGTGAAGAGGCTTAGAGTCCCAGCATCAGTCTGACATGTTTCCATCAATGTGCAGGATCTGAACTAGTATGTACAGGAGGTGAGTGTGAGAGAGTAGTGGGGAAAAGGAGAACTAGAAGGGATTCGGAGTTGACTGAGAGAGACAGAGAAAGAAAGAATTGGATGGAGGAACGTGACCTGAACAAAGGGACGTGGAGTCCTTGAGGTGTAGGTGTGGGGGTGGGACAGGAGGGAGTGCTGACAGTTGTTGAGGTGTGCAGTTGTGCGGGGATGTACTAATAAGCACATTGAAGCTTCTCTTTTCCCGCCATGCGCCGCAGTGGCCGTACCCATAAAGGGAGGGTTGCAGCAGGCTCGGTTCCTCTTTCCCCGCTCAGGAGTGAGACGCCGTGGGTGTTTCAGGGCCCCGCTAGGAAAGGGGACCGCGGGACCTGCTTCAGGCAGCCTGCAGCCGCCCTGACCAAGCTAAGCGGTGCTAGGGAAGCGATGCCTGCCTTGGAGCCGCTACCCCGATTCCCTGGCAGGACCGGGCCGCCGGGAGCCCGAGGCGAGGGCAGCTTCCGCCGCTGTTGCAGGATTCCCGGCCCTGGGGAGAAAAGCGTCTCGCTCCAGCAGAGTCGAGTAAATGGCTCGCGCCGGCTGTCGGGACCCCGAGGCGCGGGGCCAGTCTGCCGGGAGGTGCAGGAGCAGCGCTGCGCTCAGTCGGCGAGAGGCGCGGGTGGCTAGTCAGCTGCAGCTGCGGGACCCTGGAAAACCTGAGCAGAAGTGACGGAGAGCCCCATCCGGCTCGGGATCCCGGCCCTTGGAGGTGGGCGCCGCCCGGAGGTCACTGCGTTGCAGCAATGCCGCGGGGGAAAGGGGACGATCCTGGAGTCCGCAAAGCCTCGACAAAATATACTCTGTCGGACAGGATCCCGATCTTGCCAGGAAGCGGGTCCCTACCCAGCCTGCCGAAGAAAGTTGAAAAGTAAACCAAGGCACGCCCCACGGCTTCCTGGAGCGCCCGCCTCACCCACCTCGGGCTGGGTGCGACAAGGAGTGGACTCTACCCTCTCCCTCCGCTCCTTTACCTCCAGTCTGGAGCCCCTTGGTTCTCCCCAAGGCCTGGAGCGGACCTGGAGATAATCACTGCACCACACTCCCCGGCCCCGCATTTCATTGCCTGTTTTGCCTGTTTTTCGAATGCTAGACAGCCGTGTGAAGGCACATCATGGGGAGAGACTGATTCCAGCCCGCACACCAGGCATCTCCTTTATCTGAGCTGCGGGTTCTGTTTCTCGAAAGGACAGTCAGAAATCAATATCTGGCAAGATCAGGACTCCTTTCCACTCAGAAAATCCTTTCAAGGAACTCCTTCCTTTACTCCCACCCCCTACCTACACACACACACACACACACACACACACACACACATGCTCCTTAAAGGCTGAAAAGGGAGCTGAGTGTGGAATTCAGGGAAGTGATGACACACACAACAATGCTGTTACACCTGGCTGCTGCCGGGCTGAGCAGCGGAAATGCCTGTGAAGGGGAGAGAGAGTGAGAAAGAGAGGAAGGGAGGCACAGAGCCAGCCTGGGTGGTCAGGCAAAAAAAGGAGAGAAAAGGAGAGAGCAGCCCCTACCAGGATGGGACCAGACCCAGCTGTTTTTCCCCCTGCCTAGACACTCGGGGAGGGTGCGCTCTGGGGCCAATCCGCAGCAGCCCCAAACCTGACTCACCACTCCCACCCATAGCCTGGGCACCGATGGGAGTAAGGAAGAAAAAAAAACACCTGCACTGCCGCTCAGGAAGCAGCCACAGAGACTTTGAAGCAGTGCTGTTTGCCCCATGTACATTGGGAGCAGTGGGAGACAGCCCAAAAAAACAACCAACCTACTTTGGGATATTTTCTTTTTGCTTTTTTTTTTTTCTTTTCCTCCCAATAACTATGCCTTAGAAGGGATATTTTCAATAAGGAGTGGAGGTCGGTATTTACTGAGTTGAGTTCAGGAGAGCCTTGAGACCAGGCCAGGGCTGCCCTGCTGATCTCCCTGGAGTCATCTTCAAGATGCTGAATTCTAAAGAGCCCCATCACCCTGTCTCTCTTCCTTTCATCTCTGCAAATCAGAGTCCAGGGTGAGAAGCAGACAGCACTTGTAGGTGGCCTGTGAATGCTGGAGCCACAGGCTACTGAAGGCTCTTCAGGCTTCAGGAGAACTCTCAGAGACTACATAGCCTGGGAGGAAGAGGTAGTGACAGGCACTGGGCCAACCACGCCACACATGCCAATCACTAACACACACCTGCATGATACCATTCAGTCCACCTTCCTCCACAAAGGATCCTGGCCCCTCCTCCTCAGCATCAAGGAGTTTGGGGCTTAAGGATTCAAAACACTGGCCAACTCTCTCACACTTTATGATTGTAGACTTTTTGTTAGGGCTAAGTTAAAGGGCACTGTTAAAAGACACACCTGACTTATTTTTGCCAGCACTGATTTTTCCCTGAGACAATCTCTGTACGTATAATCTAACTGGGTCCCAATCACACTTCTGCTGAAGGGAGGTGAGAACTCACCCCTGAGCCGTTGGAGAAAAGACTAGAACAAATGTGTCATCATGAGAGAGATCTGAATGAGTGCCTCCCTCAGCCTGTTATTTTTCTTCCCAGGCTGTGATATAATATATATACTGGGAAGAAAGGAGAAAGAGAAGAATCGTGAAAGAAAGAAAAGAAAGGAAAAATGAGAATAAAAGAGAAGAGAGTAGGTACTATATCCACTAACCACACTCTGATATTTGATACAAATATATCATTATGTATCTGTAAGTATGAATATGCTTTACCTCGTAAATACAAATATCACACCTTGCACATGTGCATACCTGTGTTTTTGACCAGCACACGTGCACCTGGACAGCTGGCATCTCACCCGCCTCAGAGACAGACCCTCCCCATGATTTCCGGATGTGACACCTGTGCACACACATATACAGTCCCCCAAAGCCCCAGGCAACATCCTCGCCTGTGTTCACACAAGAGCAGAGGGGCCTCTACTTGGTGTTGTTCAAGCACACACGAAACCCTCACTCCAGCCTGTAGAATCACAACGTGGATTCTGAGGAGTGGCCTGGTTCCTAGATCCACCCGCAACGTACAGAAAGGAAGAAGCGATTCAGGCGGCGCCCCTGGACCTCTCTTCCCAGTGATCCTCTCCTCGGCTCCACTCTGGCCCAGTCACACTGAGAGCGCGAGGGACAGGCCAGGCCGAGGTTTCTTCGTTCAGTGACACGCGTTTCTGGGCTGATTTTCCCAAAGCTACAGAGCAGCTCTCCCCACCCCACCCCGGTCCGGCCCCCTTGCCGTCTCGCCCCTCCCCCAGCGCGGAGCTAGAAGTTTAGCCCCAAGACAGCAGGAAAGGGCAGAGCAAAGGAGTCGTTTTCTTTCACCTGAAAGCTGCGAGGAGGCTTGGAGCGCCTCTCCTCGCTGGAGCCCGAGCTCCCTGCTCGCGGGCCGGGTACGGGCGGCCCCCCCGGAGCCCTCGGTATCTCCCGGCTCAGTCCTCAGAGCAAGCACCGGAAGATTTCAGGGGCTCGTGAGAGCGTGAGCCCGGCTGTCGACCGGGTCCCCGAGGCTCACCGAGTGGGGGCAGGCCGGTCCAGGCTGTGCGAGGCGTTTACAAAAAGTGACTTGGAGATGAACTCGCCCGTGCGCGGCTGGCCGCCCCGCTATAGGGGCGAAGGCGCCTGACGCAAGCGGAACTCGGCGGAGCCCATACGAATCAGAACAGAGCGAGGCTCCGGGCACACTAGGGACTCCAGGAGGCAGCTCCGCCAGAGACGCGGGTCGTGCTTAGGGAAACCGGGGGGTGGGGGGAGGGGAAGAGCGCAAAAAACAAAACCCACCGAGGCGGGGACTGGCTTGGGCGGGGAGGGGCGGCGGCGCCGGAGCCCCTCTCTGTTGGGCGGACTCCCCATGGCCAGAGGCTGAGCTCCACTCCCGCCGGCCGCTCCCTAGGGGAAGGGAAAGAAGAGGGAAAGAAGAGAGAAGAGCAGCGAGAGGCCTCCGCAGTCTCCAGAAGTTTGAGACTCGGCCGCGAGCGGACTTCTGCACCCAACTCTTCACCGCGCCAGTGCCTAGAGAGGAGAGGAGGGGCGGCCCTGCAGCGGCACGCCGGCTTTGTCATGATGGCCAGCTACCCCGAGCCGGAGGACGCCGCGGGGGCCCTGCTGGCCCCGGAGACCGGCCGCACAGTCAAGGAGCCGGAGGCGCCACCGCCGAGCCCCGGCAAGGGCGGCGGGGGAGGCGGTGGGACAGTCCCGGAGAAGCCCGACCCCGCGCAGAAGCCCCCGTACTCGTACGTGGCGCTCATCGCCATGGCAATCCGCGAGAGCGCCGAGAAGAGGCTCACGCTGTCCGGCATCTACCAGTACATCATCGCCAAGTTCCCGTTCTACGAGAAGAACAAGAAGGGGTGGCAAAATAGCATCCGCCACAACCTCAGCCTCAACGAGTGCTTCATCAAGGTGCCGCGCGAGGGCGGCGGCGAGCGCAAGGGCAACTACTGGACGCTGGACCCGGCCTGCGAGGACATGTTCGAGAAGGGCAACTACCGGCGTCGCCGCCGCATGAAGCGGCCCTTCCGGCCGCCGCCCGCGCACTTCCAGCCCGGCAAGGGGCTCTTCGGGGCCGGAGGCGCAGCGGGCGGCTGTGGCGTGGCGGGCGCAGGGGCCGACGGCTACGGCTACCTGGCACCCCCCAAGTACCTGCAGTCAGGCTTCCTCAACAACTCATGGCCGCTACCGCAGCCGCCTTCACCCATGCCCTACGCCTCCTGCCAGATGGCTGCGGCCGCGGCAGCTGCGGCCGCGGCGGCGGCGGCCGCGGGTCCAGGCAGCCCTGGCGCGGCTGCTGTGGTCAAGGGGCTGGCGGGCCCGGCCGCCTCGTACGGGCCGTACTCACGCGTGCAGAGCATGGCGCTGCCCCCCGGCGTAGTGAACTCTTACAACGGCCTAGGAGGCCCGCCGGCCGCGCCCCCGCCTCCTCCGCACCCGCATCCGCATCCGCACGCGCACCATCTGCACGCAGCCGCCGCACCCCCACCGGCCCCGCCGCACCACGGGGCTACCGCACCGCCCCCAGGCCAGCTCAGCCCCGCCAGTCCAGCCACCGCCGCGCCCCCGGCGCCCGCGCCCACCAGTGCGCCCGGCCTGCAGTTCGCCTGTGCCCGGCAGCCCGAGCTCGCCATGATGCATTGCTCTTACTGGGACCACGACAGCAAGACCAGCGCGCTGCATTCGCGCCTCGATCTCTGAGAGCCCACCGCGTGCCGGCGCGGACAGATGCAAGGATGCAGGAACGCGCGATGCCCGCCCTGGTTGCAGCCACCGCCGTCAGCCGGACCTCGTGCCCGCTGGGGCCGCCTCTTGAGCCAGCGCCCATGGCCCCTCTGCGCTTCCTTGCTCCCCTAGCTCCTTTCGCTCCTCTTTGTCCCCTCCGCTTCTCCTCTTGTGCTCGCCTCCCTGACCTGTATGCCCTTGCGCTCCCCCGGCCTGAAGCCGCCTCTCCGCGCTCTTTCTACAGGCTCCGTCTCTTCTCGGAGCCCCAGCGTCTGGGCTGGACACTCTATGCCAAAATTCCGCGCGGAGAGAAGGCGCCCCGGGCCGATGTGCAGCCGGGCATCGGCGGCGCAGACCCCTAGGCCTTCTCCCACAGGTCGGTGCGCTCACGTTCAGCTTTCCCCGCCCGACTGCCGCGCAATCCTTGGCTAAAAGCGCCGGGCTGGACCAGCAACGGGACCCGCGCCGCCGGAGAAAGGGAAGGACGAACATGTCTGTTTGCTCTGCGAATCCTCTTGGAGCTGTTCAGAAGCGGCTTGCCGTGGGGACCCCCAGGACAGGGCGGGGGTTGGGACCAAGCGGGGAGCCGGGGCAGCCTGGCTCTGCGGCCTGCGCTCGGGTGTACACCACCACATCCGCGCACGGAGGAAGGCTGCGTTTCCTCCGCTCTTCATCCCGGGGCTTCGGGCACCTCCAGGCCCGGCGGCTGGCTAATGTTTTGCTTAAAAGATCGGTGGGGCTTTTTTAGATAACCAAAAAAAATTTTTAAGAAAAATAATTCACCGGGGAAACCGGGGAAGTATGTGGCCTTGGAATTTGCTAAAGCCAAAGGTGAAAATCAAAAGCTTTAGTGTTCCTCGTCTTCGCTTCTGGGAGATTTGCAGTAGAGTTCCTGTCGGGCCTACAAAAAGCTGTGTTCTGAGATGTAGGAGAATATACCCGGTAAAAGGTGGTTTCATCTACGAAGTGGGGGAGTTTCCCTCTCTCCCGGTTTGAAAATATAATTAGAAACAAATTTTCCCGGATCTTCCGATGCAAGCCCGCGATGCCGGGAGATCACTGCCTGCCAGACACACGCTGCAGGAATGGTTAGTCCCTCCCTGGTTTTTGTTTTTCAAACATCTTGCTTCTCCCACCTTCCGAAAGAGAAATGTGAAACCCGGCAGCGGCCGGCCAACGCGGGCTTGTAGCCGGGAGCCGGCTGGCCAAAAAACCCTAGACCTGGTTGTCCTGTAGTTTGTCGTTTGGGGGACCAAATTTGCTAGAGAGAACTAGAGCACTTTTGTTGTTTTGGTTTTTTTTTTTTTTTTTGGTTTGTTTGTTTTTTATTTGTTTGTTTTGGTTTTTTGGGTTGGTTTTTTTTTTTTTTTTGCCTTGTCAATTTTCGAATAAATTTTTTGTTCTATCTTTTAGCACGGACTTGTATTATTTCCGTTGCGCGTCAGTTCAGCAGCTAGTTTAAAAGAGGGAGATTTTCAGCAAAATTTTATCTTTTTTCAGAGTGAGCCAAACAAAGGTTTAGGGCAACGGGGATGTTGGGGCGTTGTGGCTGCCGCTGCCGCTTTGTTTTCCCAGGGATCGTTTGTTTTCTGTGTCATCACTGCTGTGTTGCGGCTGTTTAACTTCAGCAGAGAGACTTTATCTGCCGTGGTTCATTCACAAGGTGCGACTTTCACAAGGTAGGACTTGTTCTATTTTTGCATCCGTGCAAGTTTGTATTTTACCTCTTACACAATTGTATTAGGTGTATGGGCTGTGTTTTCATTATTATTCTCATACTTTTAAATTTTTCAAGTCAAATATAACAGCCTAAAGGGTTTATTCCAAATAGATAAAATCCTGGTTGTGGAAATATGCCGTAAGCTGCAAACCTATGTACAAATGCAACAAGTGACTGATTGCTTTATTATTTTTAATAATCAGAATTCACCTACCTTAAGATATGGATAAGTGATTTGGAGGTTCCACAGAGGATTGAACATACTGCATGGCTGCAGAAATTGAATCTTTTTTCTTTCTTTTCCTTCAATGAGATCTTCAAATAACGAATTAAGATTCATCCTTCTGCTCATGTACACGGGTGTTTGACACAGTTACTGTCTTGTTCCCCCAGGCAGATTAGGGGTGATCAGCCTTCTGTCTTCTGGTGGGATGACAGGTATCAGCCTGCTCTCACAGGCTGCTGCGCAGCTGGGGCTAGACCTCATGCCCAGCCACTGTCTCTCACGGCCCCCTCCATCTCCTACCCTGGACAGCAATGGCACAGATCTCGGCATGTGGTTGTGCGTGGCAGGGAGCACTGAAGGCTTCCCCTGACCTATGGTCAGACCATGGAAACCTCAGGATGATAGCCCTGTTATTTGTAGTTGAGTCCAAGGAGAAGTGGCTTCTGCTCAGGATGCCCCCTGCTCCCTGAGTCATTTCCCACCCCCAGACTGTGGACAGAGAGCAGATGGAAGACACGGCCATGGGGATTCTCAGTGGCATCACCCTCAGAATGAGACTGGAGCTGGCCAGGAACGAGCATGAGCAGGCTGGAGAGGGAGGCTCAGCTGGGGCTGGAAGCCCAAGAGGCTGGTGAGGCCTGGTGTCTGGGTGCTTCTGGTGCCCCACTGCTACACTGTGTCTGGCTGGCTAAGGCGAGTTGCAGAAAAGAAAGAGTGCTGCTGTGTGCTTGTCTGTTTGTGCTTTCTGTGGTGTGAACATGTATCCCATGAGCAGTTGTGTAGTCTGTACCTGCTGCAAATGTGTGTGCACAGTGTCAGTTGTGTATTGGTGACAGGATAGGAAGTATCTATCTGTCATTCACCTCGCAGGGGTGGGGAACCTGTGGCCTGAGGGCCACATGTGGCCTTCTGGATCCTTGAGTGCGGACTTTTGACTGAATCCAAATTTTACAGAACAAATACTTTTAATAAAGGGATTTGTTCTGTGAAGTTTGGATTCTGTCGAGGGGCCATAGTTGGGGATCTTGAGAGCCACAAGTAGCCATAAGGCCACAGGTTCCCCGCCCCTGATTGTGGCATTGTAGTAATCATATGGCTAACACTTTGGGACCACAGTGTATGTTGCATTTATACCTCATTGGTAATGTGTGCAGTTATGGTCTGGGTGTATATTCCTGGTTTGCTGAATGATAACAAAATACATACAGAGCCTTTGCTTCATCTGGCAGAGGCTCCCTGTTCTGAGGCTGGCTGTCAGTGTTCCCCTAACTGCTCTCCTGAAAAGAGAAAGCAGGGGAGGGAAGCCTTCCCGACAGAGCCCTGGTGAGCAGGTAGCAGCCTACCTCCAGTGAGGTGAGGAAGTTGGCCTGGGCCAGCAATACAGGACAGAGACTCTGCCTCTGAGAACTGAAAGGCAAGAGGCACCCAAGGCTGGAAGGAGAGCAGCAGCCTCACCAAGTAAGGAGGACGAAATGAAGGAATCCGTGGGGGCTTTCTGGGTCTACACAGGGATTGGAGGAGGTGAGAGAAGGGGGCCAAATCATACCCCACCTCCCCATGGATGCCCACGGGAAGACATCTGTCTAATTCCAGCCCTATAGGTTTCTCTAGTGCTCTAAATTTTGGTCATTTTCCCCAGTGCTAAAAGTTTGGGGCAATAGCAGACTATCTTCATCTCTCACTTCCTCTCTC